TGGGGTTAGCCTACTTAAAAAGTGCTTGGGATTCAGAAACAAAAATCCTAGTTTTGAGTTTATTTTTTCTTCTAATATGTAGCTTGTTTTTCATTTGTTAAATAGTTACAGAAATAACTACCCTACTTTTCTCACAGGTTTGTTTTGAGAAAAAATTCAGCTAGCATATAGAAACTACTATTTATGGGTTAACCAGCACTATACAGATCATAATAATGATAATATTATCATAGCCATATTTGGTAATAATACCACATTGATAGCTGTATTGCCTAATAATATTCACACTATAAATCCTCATGTAATAATAGCTTTAATTATAAATTTAAAAGGTACAGTTTCATGGTATTCAGGACTTACCTTTACAATGATAAATTATGTCCCCCTCCTAGGAGAACCAGGTACTATTTCCTAGCATTTATGTCAGCATTATGAATTAAAGTCAGGTTCAACAAAAGATGTCAGATTCCATAGATATGGAACAGTAAATATTTGTTATGCAGCAGTTATTGTAATTGTTCCCCATTTCCCAAAGCAATTTAAAGTTGGAGTGAGAGATCTGTGGAATGGAGAAACTTCTGGTGCGTTAGGGACAGTGTCCCACAGACCCAATTAAGAGGGGTGCTGGGAATAGACTGTGGGTGAACTAAAGCTCACAAATGAAATAACATTCTCCTGCCCACATAACTTCTAGGAGCAGGGGTAGATGTTCACCAAACAAACTTCATGAAATGTGAGAGCTTCCTACTTTAAAATATGTCTACCAAAGTTAATTCAAAGTAAGAGATTAATAATTCAAATGATGTTTACTAAAATGAAATGCTAGAATTGAAAAATGACCTAGATATTATGAACGAAATAAAATGGATAGTCACTATGAATTAAATGCATTGTGATTTAACTGTTTGCTTACTTATCTTTATTCTTTTTGAAAAATTAATTTCATGCATTTTCAAGCTTTTTTGAAAAGAAAAGAAATACAGATAAGCAATAAAATAAATAGATCCATGGGACAAAAGCAACTCTATTATGTTTAAGGCCAAAAAAGTGAAAAATAAATTCAGAATTGATAGTTTGGGGTATTACTGGGAAGAAAGAACATTGAATTAAAGTGTCTTAGCAAAGTCTATTAAGCTATATTTTAGATATTAACACTTAGATTGTGACTGTAATTTTCTAGTAGATGTCACATTTTGTGTACAATGCTCGAATTCTCAGAAATAACAATTTACTTAAAAAGCAAAAACAGTATTTATGTATGCACATAGACACAAACACACACATACAAACATAGCCCCCACCTCCGACACACACACCACAAACTATGGTCTGTATACATTAAATACGAATAGATATATGTCAAGAGTTTTTTAATATTATAAGATCATGGAAGTCTAGAGCTAGAAAACTCTGCAAAAATCATTTAGTAAGATTTTTCTTTCTATAGATGAGTAAACTGAGGTAAAAGTGATGAAATACTATTCCCGAGTCATTGTTAGCATTTGACCTAGAGAGAATTCAGAACAGTAACTATGCAGAAGAACATATAAAGAAAATAACAATACCATATGAATTTTTACCAGTTCTTAGACAATAGCTAATGGAGTAGTCTGAAAATATAGGCCTTATATGACTGGAAGACAAAGGACCCCTAAATGGAGTGAGTAGTGAGACATTTTATTAACCTGAAGAGAGCTTATTGGAGTGAAACTTATCTATATCTATTATAGAACTTCCCTTCTGAATTCAGAAAAGGACTAGAATCAACAAAGGGGAACTTTTATTCTCTTTTTGGAAGTGGCCTCTAGGGGACATAAGATGAGAGGGCATAGAAGGTATTCGAGCAATGCAACAAAGTATGAAAATATATGCATCCCATTGTCTCCCTCAAGAGCAGGAAATAGACATAAAATTGATCTGCTTCTCAGAAGAAAAATCAGAGATGAATGGTAGTTATAAGTCAGCTGCTGAAAGGATCCAGGAGGAGCCATAGCTGGCAAATGGGTTATACTGGCCCATTATCTGGTTTCCAGGTGGATAAAAGTGAATATTTACAGAGACAGACACTTCTTGTGGATTTAAGTTTGCACACCTCACTAATAAAGCAAATACTACTACCACCACTAGTATAGGTCGAGAGCAAATGTATTATTTTAATTTGGATGTTGGTCACCTTATTAAAGAACTCTAAAATTCAACATTGAGTAACAAAGCATCATAAATAGATTTATATCCATTCCCACTCACAAAAACATGGACAAATGAAAATTGAAATGAACAACTGAAACCCCTGCTTACAAAATTGGAGGGTAACAAGGACTAAAGGGATGTGTTTCACAACTAAATGAATATTGTTAAAACTTGCTATACATGGAATTAAATGGAGACCACCATTGGATCTATTGTTGAGTTATTGTAGAAGACATAGAGAAGATAGTGGGAATGATAAAGGTATTCACAGAAACTTCTCTGTTTCTAACACTTTTTCTTTGTATTTGCCTGCTTCCGTGTTGGCAGGACATTCATTGCATTCATAAGTTCCAGAACATTATTTGCTGACCACGACACGATGACAATACATCTAAATATTACTATTGCCCATATTCCTAAAAGAATGGTAATATGGATCATTCTCTCCTTTCACCTTTTAAAAGTGGGATTAAAGGTTTCTGTCTTTCCCACCTGGTGGATCATGCAGGCCTATATGCTTGCAGTTATCCAACCCTACTCCAATATAACATAATTGATAAAGGGTTTATATTGCTGCCAACTTTATGTCAGTTCTCTAGCTGAACCTAACAGTCCTACTCCAGGGAGGATAATCTAGGTAAAATAAATTCAAAGTGGAGGAAAGGAGAAGTAATTATAGCTATAAAAGGAGCCTATGAGAAGCTCTTTGGCATACTCTAAGATATATTTGGACGTTACTACTACGGTATGACAGTAACCTGGGAAGATCAACATTTGGGGTTCAAAATATACACTCAAACTCTATTTAAGCAATAAGCAGTTAACGACAACAACGTATTTGGTGTATAATCCAACAATGATTGAATTGTTCTAAAAGAGTTTCACAAAAGTGGCCTGGAAAGTGTGATTGAAGTTTTCAGAACTCTCCTTTATGGACCGAAATTTCTTCCTCCTCAGGACCATGTCCTGTATCTCTATTAAAGCCTTACATGAGTACACAATCTGAAATCACATGTGTTCTGTAGAAGAGCCAACACTGGGCAAATGTTGCAAAGTTTAATTTAAAATTCTGGGCTATCTTAAAATGTATTAATTTCTTTTTAAGAGATAGGGTCTTGCTCTGTCACCCCGGCTGGAGTGCAGGGGCAGAATCATAGCTCACTGCAGCCTTGGACTCCTGGGCTCATGCGATCCTCCCATCTTAGCCTCCCAAGTAAATGGGACCATAGCCGTGCACCATCATGCCTGGTTAATTTTTTTTAATTTTTTATAGAGACATGGTCTCACTATGATGTCCAGGCTTCTCTTGAAATTTAGAAAATCAGTCAATATATATCCTGAATTATCAACAACCCATTGAAGTGAGAAATAATGTCTTTTATGTGACTCCCGCACCCTTGTCATGGTTCACAGTCCTCACCAGCACTGTCTTATTCTTAATTGGAGGAGGCATCATTCATATCACAATTTGTGTTCCTGGAAGTACATTCTCATAGACTACAACGTGAATGGGGGTCATTGGATTTGTGTCATTTAAATATGTACACACAGATGTCCTGGTCATAATTACATAATACATAACATGATGTAGTTATCTCCAGAACTTGCTTTAATGTGATCTAAAGGAAGAATATAAGCGGGTATCGATAATGATGAAAGAAGGCTGACCATGTATAATTATTTAAGTTGTACAATTAGTACATTGAGTTTTATTAAATAGTTCTCATTCTTTTGTTAAATATTTGAAAATGAAAATTTTCAAAAAAAGTTTTAAAGAAAAAAATTCATATATATACACAAATGTGTGTGTGTATAAATGGAGATATATGTGTATATGCATATGTATTTAAACAGAGCTGCAAACATAATGGGGGAAACATATAATGGTATTTAGGGTAGTAATATGACCTTTCTAATGGTAATTTAGCCAGAAACTTTAAAAGTTTATACCACCCGGCCTGTTAATTTCATGCCTTAGAATTTATCCTGTGAAACATGTGTTGGACATTACAAAAAATTTAACCCCAAGTGCTCATAATAGATCTAACAAATCAAAATAAAAACATGATGAATGCATGACTCCTACTTACTAAGAGAAACATTAGAATGATATCTTTGGGAGGTGGCCATAATGACAATGATTTTTCTTTTTTTAAATATTTTGATTTTTTTTAGAATTTTAGAATTTTAAAATTTTAGAAAATATTACCTTAATGAGGTGACTTTCAGTGAGACATCTGGCTCTAGTAATTATTAGCTGAGAGTAAAAGAGGGAACAAATAGCAACTTTTAGTCCTCACTATGGAGTCTTAGCTTCAATTCTGAAATGCTAGGACATTGTGAAGCCAGCATTACGCTAGGTGCTTCCTCCAACTTATTGAAACATTAAATGATACTGGGACCTGGATTTTTGTATTATTTTATTTCCTTATTACAAGTAAGGTAACTATGTCTTAGAAAGAAAGAATAATCTATCCAATATCACCTAGGTAGTTTACAGAACTGCAGATTTTCTACTATTGCCTCTCTATTTCCAACACTTACAGTATGATTGTTTTCCACTATGTTTCTACACAAAAACACTCATTTCAGACATCACAAGGGAAGAGATTCTAAGAGAATTAACTATGTTTGTGAAATCTGGATCAGGGCATGTTGGAGTTTGTAGCAAACTATAGTTCTCGGTGATTCTAGCTGAGCAGGGCTAGGAAAGGCAAAGGATAAAAATCTCTCTCTCTCACCATGGTTTCTCCAAAAAAGGTTGACGCTGATTTACCTATGAGTCCATCTTTGTGACTGTTAAACAAAGACCTACATGTCCCGGTTTCCTTAGTGAACTGGTTTTTTGTTCAGCAGATATTTTACAGCAGCTTTTACATCCTTATTTCTCAAGCTATAGATTATAGGATTCAGCATGGGGGTCACTACCCCATAAAACAGAGAAATGAGCTTGTCTGATGCTTGCAATTTTTCTTCCCCAGTCAGGTCCTGAGACTTCGGTTTTGCATACAGAAATAAGATGGTACCATAAAATATGATCACCACAGTCAGGTGAGCTGAGCACGTAGAAAATGCCTTGCGTCTTCCTGTGGCTGAATTCATTTGCAAGATGGTGTACAGGATGAACATATAGGAGAAAAAAATGACCATCAGTGGAAGAACCAGGAAGGCCATATTTGATATCACCATGGTGATAATATTGAGGGATATATCAGCACAAGCTAGCTTGAGGACAGCTAATATTTCACATGCGAAATGATTGATAATATTATTCCCACAGAAAGGCAGCCTCATGGCAAGTAATGTTTGTACAACTGAATTGATTCCACCGGAGAGCCAGGACACAGAAGCCATCAGGACATATGCCTCCTTGCTCATGATGATGGGGTATCTCAGAGGGTTACAGATGGCCACGTAACGATCAAATGCCATCATGCCAAGAAGTAAACATTCTGTTGACCCCATCGCAAACCCAAAGAACATCTGCACTGCACATCCAGAGAAAGAAATGTTTCTTTTCTTTGAGATTAAGCTCACCAATGTTGAGGGAACAGAGGAGGATGTATAGCAGATATCCAGGAAAGCGAGGTTGCCCAGGAAGAAGTACATGGGTGTGTGAAGACGAGAATCCAAGATGCTTGCTATGATTAGAACACCATTGCCAATTAGAATCACTAGGTACATAACTAGAATGAGAGCAAAGTAAATGATCTCAATCTTTGGGTATCCAGAAAGACCCAGAAGAAGAAATTCTGACACAAGTGTCTGGTTAATCTCACCCATGTCATCTGCTTTCAGGAAATCAAAAGAAGAGCTAACATAAAATGTATTTACTGCCAAGAAACAAACAGTACAAATTACCTGAACAATCATTCTTTTGGCACATATTAGAAGGAGTGCTTGCTTGAAGTTCTGACATCCAGTTATCTTCAGTAATGTGTGTGACTAGAATACAATGAATCTGGGAATGATGGAAGTACCTATACCTCATTGCCAATATGTGAAGATCTACCTACGATCAGACACACATGCAGACAGAACCTTTCCTGCTGTTGAGGACGTGTTCCTGAGTTGAGGACACTCTCCCGAGCTGAGGTTTCTGAAACCCCTGGCCAATCAACAACTCTAAGCCTAACATCTTCATTTCATCAACCCCAGCAAACAAGCAGTAAAGAGGGCAAAAGACTACTCAACAAGACTGGAATTTTAATTCAGCAATTTACAAAGTGGTTAAAATTTCACAGCAATTTTTGTGTGTTTATATTTTTTATAGGTCTGATGCTAACACCTTATAGTTAGTTTAATTGTGTATTGTATAGACATTTAATAACAATACATTGAATCGCATACCCTGAAATTTGACAACTGTTTAAAGGCATACTTAGTTGTTGATCTCATAGTATCTTGTATGACTGTTCCTATGACAAGACCATTGCACAGAACAGCTCCACATAAACATGATAGTCTTTGGAGAACGTTACGTGGTCTCTTTACATATTTTACTTTGTAGTTTAAGAGTCTGTCTTGATAATTTACTTATTTAAGTCAACTGATAAAAATAGTAATAGTGTTTTAATATTTCATATAAATATGTATATATGTGTATGTATACCACTTTACAATTTACAAATTATAATATTCTTTATATTAACTCCATTTTTCAACTATAAAATATGGAACTTGGCCAAGGTTAACTAGGCAGTAAATAATAAAATGGAATGTAAAGCTAATATTTTTGACACCAAGTCTAGTTCTGGCTTCACTAATTTTCATATACATGTAAAGCATCTAGAAATTTTATTTATTTATTTATTTATTTTTTGAGACAGAGTCTCACTCCATCACCAGGCTGGAGTGCAGTGGCGCAATCTGGGCTGACTGCAACCTCCACCTACAGGCGTGTGCCACCATGCCCAGCTAACTTTTGTATTTTTAGTAGAGACAGGGTTTCACTGTGTTGGCCAGGATGGTCTCCATCTCTTGACCTTGTGATCTGCCCACCTCAGCCTCCCAAAGTGCTGGGATTACAGGCATGAGCCACTGCACCCGGTGAGCATCTGGGAAACCTAAAAACCTTCAGATTGTCTTTTAGTGTTCAGGGCAGGTCCTGAGATTCTGCATTTCTTGCAGGTGCCCAGGTGACGCTTACACCACTGGTCCCAAAAGCACTTGAGTAGCAAGGCTTAGTCTATACTGAGTTGGCCAATTATCTAGATGTTTCTAATTCAAGCCAATTTTCTTCTGCCTTATTATATAGATTGGCAATAAGAACATGGAAAATTTCAAGAGCATAATTCTTTGATGTTTTACAGAAACTCCAGATTGACACCATATTTTTAAATACTCTTTTAAAATATTATTGAAACACATATTTTTAAAAAGCAGCATTTTTAAAGTGCCTGTCATTACAATGTTCGCAATTTAGGTAGGGATATAAGAAAAGAACATATCGAAATAATTTATAGTCACTTTCTATAGCTTATGTGAAAATTACACTTTTTCCCAGAAGGAAGAATTTTATGAGAACTAAATTAGGCCAAGGAGAAGTCCGGAGTTTCAGTCTTCAGCTGACCCTGGGAGTATGGAAAAGAATGAGACAGGGTTAAAAGAGAAAAGGGGTATCTCAAAAGTGAGAATTTAGACCAAAGTTAGGAGTAAGCCAACTGGCAGAACAAGGGAGTTTCTGGGAAAGAGTGGTGGGAAACACATCTGAGAAAGAAAGTCTGACAGGTGCATATAGAAAGTCTCTAAAATTGGGCAGAAAAATTGGCATTTCTTTTAGTGGAAAAGAGGTCCCTCACTAGAAAGCACAGAGCGTGGGGTAAGCACCTACCCCATTAGACTTCAGCAGTTCTCGAAATTTGATCTCATAGAAGATGGTGTTACAAGATTTTTTAGTAGAAATGTAATTCAGAGAATTAAAGCACTTAGGTTAGTGGAGTTGTCACTAATTACAGACTAGGCCTGAAAATTGATCTTTACATAATCACTACTAGATGTAATTTTGGTGAAAATCACAAGTGTAGGTTTTGCATAGGCTAAAGGTTTTGAGAATGGTAGCACACCCACTCTTCCCCACACTGTGACTGTTGGTCACATGATAGTCACTGGGAAGTTTTGTGTAGAGCAGATATTGTCGGGAGTCAGAAATCCAACTCACAGAATCTTTACTACAGGAAAAACTTAGTTAAGGATACACAATAGAAATATTTAAACTTTGAAGAGAAAGACAAGGAAGAGAATATACAATCTCAATCTTAAAGCCAAAAAAACTGAGCCCACAATAGATTGTTGATTTTTATTATTCAGCTTTAAGGAGAGAGAGAAGGAGGGAAAGGAGGCAGGGAGGAAAGAAAGCAGGGAAGATGGGAGGAAGAGAGGAAGGGTGGAAGGGAAGGGATGGAGGGAGGAAGGGAGATAAGAAAAGGAAGAAAGGGTAAAGGAAGGAGACGTGAGGGAGGAAGAGAGGGAGGGAGGGAGGGAGGGAGGGAGGAAGGAAGGAAGGAAGGAAGGAAGGAAAGAAGGAAGGAAGGCAGGCAGGCAGGAAGGAAGGAAGGAAGGCAGGAAGGAAGGAAGGAAAGAAGGAAGGAAGGAAGGAAAGAAAATCTCTGCATTTATTCAGACAACTTTTTTTTTTTTTTTTCTTGATTTGTGTTACTTTAAGGTGAAATCCAGATATCAAATGAACTTATCAAAAGGATGCCTAAATGCTCTCAACTTTTTGGCATGTTCTTATATTAGTTCTTATTGTAGCTTCCTATGTGCCATGTTTTGTGCCAAGGTCACATGTCTAATAACAGGCAGAGATCCAAAGTCTACTGTCTTCATATTACTATGCTGCCTGAAAAGTGGCATTAAAATCTGTATAGAAATCAAATGTCAAAAGCAGTAAATGGTCAGTGAGAACTACAGAAAAATTGAGGTCACAAAAACAAATTGAATATACTTTCAACAGTACCCAGAGAAAGGAGCAATTATTTATATTACTTCAGACGCCTCAAGCGGGGTACAGAAATAGCCATAGGAAACACTGGGTAAAGGACAGTCACAAATACAAAAGGAAATGAACAGCAAAACATTAATTCAAATCTACTGTCTTCTGCTCCTGACACTTTAAATTGGTTATCTTGTATATTGTGAGATAAAGGAGACTCAGGGAAAGAGCTTGTCTGTTTTGCTCATTCTTCCACACCTAAGTCTAACACAGGGACTGCACATAATACATGGGTTTTGTAATACACAGGTGAAAGGTTACTTTCTGGACTCATGCAATTTCCCTCCCTGTGCAGTATTTGTGGATTCACGAGCAGGACAACATTGGTATGCCACATTTATTCTTTCATAGCAGACTTTAATTATAAAATATATACCTTTCATTCAGTACTGATAATCTGCTCTCTTATACAAACAACGAGCAGTTTATGTACTGTAAGCATAGAGGGATCACCTAACACTTATTTCAATATGTATGCCATCGGTGGCGTAGTGGAAAAGTGTCTAACACTAGAATCAAAGCCTTTGGGTTGAAGTTCTTTGCCTGCAATTTACAGCCTCAGTTTTCTTATTTGCATACCTGCATTACTTTACTTGTAGGATATTCTAAAAAATATACAGAGTATCAAAATTGCTTTAAGGATTAATTAACATAATACAAGTAATAATTAAATAATACTAATAATTCACGGCTGTATTTTGGTGATAATGAATTGGTACCTATATTGCTTCAAATTATTCAAATTAAAATGCATATTGAATAGCACCTTTACTTATAGAGTTTAATTATAAGTTTCATATGATTCAGGACTTACTTTATAGTGATAAATTATGTCCACCTCCTAGAAGAACCAAGTACTTTTTCTTAGTGTTTATGTCAGCATTCTGAATTAAGGTCAGGCTCAGCAAGAGAGGCTGCATTTTACAGATGTAGAAGAGTAAATATTTGTTATGCAGCAGTTATTGAAATTATTCCCCAATTCCCAGAGCAATTTAAAGTTGGAGTGAGAGATCTGTGGAATGGAGAAACTTCTGATGCATTAGGGACAGTGTCCCACAGACCCAATTAAGAGGGGTGCTGGGAACAGATTGTGGGTGAACTAAAGCTCACAAATGGAGTAGCACTCTCCTGCCCACATAACTTTTAGAAATAGGGGCCGAGGTTCATGAAACACACTTTATGAAATGTGGGAGCTCCCTGGTTTAAAACATATCTACCAGAGCAAAGTTCATTCAAAGTTAGAGATTAATAATTCAAATCATGATTACTAAAATGTAACGCTAGAAGTAAAAAACATGTAGATATTATGAATGAAATAAAATGGATATTAGCTATGAATTAAGTGCATTATGATTCAACTTTTTTGCTTATTTTACCTTAATTCTTTTTGATAAGTTAAATTCATATAGGATGTCTTCACTAAATTTTTTTGAAATGAGAAGTAATACAGATAAGCAATAAGTAAATCCATAGGACAAAAGCAAATTCATAAGTTTTAAGCCTCAAAAGTAAAAAGTCCGAAATGAATAGTTTGGGGTATGAATTCAGATAGGCGTATTATTGAATTAACATGCTTTAGCAAAGCCTATTAAGCTACATTGTAGATATTAACACTGAGGTTCACTGTGAAATACTTGGGTTCTGAAAAATAACAGTTGGCTTAATAAAGCAGGGGAATAATTTATTCATGCACATACACACCCCACAAAACATCGTATAGGTGCATTAAAATACAAATGGAAACATGTGAGGGATGCATATTTAAAATCATAAAATCTTAGAGCTTAAAACTTCTGCAGAAGTCATACAGTAAGATTTACCTTTTTATAGATTAGTAAACTGAGGTATGAAGTAAATAAATAATGTTTCAAAGTCACACAGTAGTATTTACATAAGTCACAATTACAAGTCTAATA